ATATTTTTTTTTTACTTTCCCGTATACTTACTTATATATGGAGTAATAAACGTAGTTATTACTCCGTGGAAAAGTTATGTAGGAAAAGTTACGTATTGCTGCGGAAAATCGATTTGGGGCCCACGTTTTGGGGCCCCTGATACCGAAAAGGTGTTGTTTTTTTTCTAAACGTCTGTCTGTCCATCAGTCTGGTGTCTATGAACACTACGAGCGCCTAAACCATGCGTAGGATTTTTCCAAATTGAAGAAACCTTGACAACTTGGCTAGAACCGAATCTAAGAGATTTTGAAAAAAAATTTAAAATTTGGGGGTGCTTCACATAAAGAACTGTGGACAATTTCAAAATTTTCTCAAAAACTGCTCCAATTTTTTTCTTTAAATTTCGTGCAAGAATAGAGTAAAATATACTATAAATGTGGCATAGGACAGATTTTTATATTTAACACGAACTGAACTGACTGAACTGACTTTAACTGAATTTTCGAAAATTTCAAAATTTTTCGGGTGTGTTCTTACAACTACAAAATTGAAGATATAAATTTTGCCTTCAAATAAAATTTGTTCTACATAGTGAGTTCTTTCATTAAGATCTTGTACATTTTTTTAAAAAAATCGTCGTTTTCGCGCAATATTGCGTGCAACATGTGCACTTTTAACAAATTAGAAAAACAAGATTTTCTCAAAAACAACTCCAACATTTTTCTTTAAACTTTTGGGAATTAGGGATTGTGCTAAATGCACTCTATAAGATGACATAAACGTCACATTTCTCTATTCTTTTGATTCTTTTTTTCTTCAAACATTACAAAAATGTCATTTTTTGACTTGGCCCTCTCGTATGTTAATATTTTCATTAGCAGCAATTTCTTTACATTCATGTATTTATGAGTATGTGCTTTAAATAATGTGAGATAATGTTTCCCGAAAACAACAGTTTTCCGTGAAAATGAGCTCAAAATTCCACATATTCAGAAACGCTCAAACACTATTTGCTCTAAAACTGCTCCAAATCTTTCTTCAAACTTTTCCAATAGATAGTGCTAATTGCGCTGTTTCAGATGTCATTGAATTAAATTTTCTGTTTTCTTTTGTTTTGTTTTTTCAAAAAATTACACATATATAATTTTTTTGAAAGATCTCTCACGCCTTTAAAGCCTTTCCTTTTCCAGCAATTTGTAAATACTATTGCATTTGTGACTAAAAGTGCTTAAAATGACGTCATATGAAGTTTTTCGAAAACTCAATAGTTTTCTGTGAAAAGAGGTTCAAATTTCAAATTTACGCTTAAATGCCATTTTCGTATAAACGGCTTCAAATTTTTCAATGAAAATTGCTATTTGAGACGAGGTTTTACTCTTCTTTATATTCTTACTATTCTTTATATTATTACTTTAAATAATAATTCGATTCTACTATTAAGAAGCCGAAAAATTAAGAAAATTTCAAAAAAATGTACTTTAGGCGGCAGCTGGCAAGAGTAAGTGTGACAATAGGAAATAGAAAGCTAATACGGAAAAGTCTGTGTCATTCTGTAGCACCACAAGTTTTAATTTCCATTTTTCTTTAGACTCTTCAAAAAGACCAGCTGTTTATCAGCAGATCCCTAGTCGTTTTCCAGCTACTGTGCGTTTCTGTTTTTTGTTCGTTTGTGTTGTAGACGTTGCGTGAGAAGGTCCAGAAGCATCTATGCTCCATACAGTTACAGAAGATGCCTGAGCACTATTTAATAAAATTAAATCTTCCTCCTCAGTAATAGCTACACCATGCTCTACAATTATTTCAATTTGTTTTTTTAATTCAGTGCTTGATTCTGCTGTTGAATCTAACCCTTTAATTGATACTTGGGGTATTGTTGACAATATTATTTCGTCCACAGAAGTTAAGTCCATAGATGGTGGAGGGCCTCCTCCAGTTCGCTTCGTTATTAATGATGGCCTGTTTCCCTTTCACAGCTGATTTCATGTCATGCCATGTTTTGCGCCAGTGTTTCTAGTCCTTCTGTACACCTGGGACAATTGCAGAGCTAATTGTTCCAACAGTTTTTGGGAATCTTTTAATTGTGAAAGTGGATGAAAATGTCCCACTTGACAGAACTTTATTTATATTCATAAAATCAGCAAGAACTACTTTTTGCTCCTGATTAGCGTGAGAATTTTTTTTTTGAAATTGTGCTGTTTTCTTGTTCTCTTACAAATAAAAATTCATTTGTCAAATAGGAAACACTTACAACATCAATACTAAATCACTATTATTACTAGGACTAAATTCCATTTTAGTGCCCTTAAAATTATATTTGTAAAAATAAAATTTTTCGAATAAAAACTAAGAAACACTATAAAAAACACTGCCACATTCACGTGACGCTGAACGCAATGAAATTGATTATTTGAATTTCGTGGAAGACGGAAAATGCTTACAAAGAGAAATCGCCTGCGCTAAAATATAATTTTTCTTTGTGAGACGGAGACGAGATAAAATTCAATTTCCAATGTTGCCAAATACATGCATGCGATAACTTTCGAATACGCTCGAGAATGCAGTTATTGGATGTCAAGCGTTTGAAATCATTTGCATACTAAATAATTCCCATGGTTTCGAGAATACAGCTACTAACCTATCACCCACCGCTGAGTCTGGACCAAGCATAACAGTACATGCATTTCAATAGATCGTGACACACCTGTTTACAGGTCACTGATCTACAATAATTTCACACGTTAGTGTTATAAGCAGTGCCGAAGAGCCCGTTTTTAGTAGGAGATAATATTAATTATTAATATAAAACACCAAATAACTAGACACAATTTTCCATCCAAAAATGAAGTGCTTAAAGATTTATTTTATAAATCACGGGAAGTAAAATTAACACTTAGTGCAAGTGCTAAACTTGTGGTTCGTGAGTGCATGGTATTTTGGGAGAAAGCAAGAATTCCGAAAAAAGGATTACCTCGGAAAAGTTTTTGCGAACTATGCACATTAGAGCATTGTTCGCAAAATCTTTTTAATTTGTACAATTCGGAGTGAAGAAATTTTTTTAAATGCAAACAAGTGAGAAGATATTTTGAAGAGGAGTTTAGAAATAATTTGAACAACATATTTGATATTGCACATCCGAATGCTTTACAAATGATTACGTTGGAAGAAGACAGGATGTTTTACTTCGGCAGAGAGACAGGACGTAAAATCTATCTTGCAGGAGTATATCAAAATCTCGCGGATAAAGAAGAAAAAACGAGACAAAGAACATTACAAAAAGAAAGGAAAGAAAAATAACAGTGTGATGCGTCTAGTCTTCTGCTGTACCTCCTTCATCGTCTGAATATTTAGATAACGAGCTTCCAAGTTCTGATGAACTCAACGTTGCTGAATTTTTAGGAGAGACATTCGAGAGTACACCAATACAGAATGCTGCAAGACACCAACAATTTTATTACTCGTAGGCTAATGACTGCTTTAGATAGATGGCAGCTGAGTATAAGAAATTTTCTATACATCCTTCAGGCGACAATAGAGGCACTTGGCAATAATACCCAATTCTCTATTAATTAATTTTCTATTCTGCAAATCGGAGACAAGAAGAGAACGTTAAGGAACAATTAAATCTGCTTTTAAGAGTACCATATCTGAAATTCTAACTGTTCATTGGAATGGTACACTGTTACCTACTTAAAATATCAGGGACCCAAAAGAAGACTTCCAATTATTGTTACATTTGGGGACGGTCAGCAGCTCACTGGGTGTCCCAATTTCAAAATTCTTCTAGTAAAGAGCGCATTTACGCTTTTTGGAATGTGTTAATGCCATGGAGTATCGATTTCTTTTTTCCTTTCTTCAATGTAAGAGACATCCTAATGAAGCGTAATTTCTCAGAAATTGCTCCAAATGTTTTAATGAAATTTTTCGTCCAATAGCGTAAAAACTCTTAAAAATAACACGGATCTGGTTTTCGATCAAAACCCTGATTTTTCATAAATTGCATAGATTTTAAGAAAAATTTCGGCGTTTTCTTACAACTACAATATTGGAGATAGATTTTCCTGAATGAAATATGTTGTACAAAGATAGATCTTGAAATAATTTTATGTACAGTTTTTCGAAAATAAGTGTTGAGTGGAATTTGGGCAAATTTTCGACAATTGTCTCCTCAAAAACCTAATCCAAATTTTTCTTCACATTTTCTCATCGTTTGTACCACAGGACGCTAAAAATTTGAACTGGTCCAATTTTCATCGAACTGTGTTTTCGAAAATTGCACAAAATTAACATTGCAAAAGTACAAATTTGATCATTTGTTTCGTTCATGTAATCGTTTCTGAAAAAGTATGTCTTCAGGGAAAATTGTGAGCTGTTTTAGGGAAAGCAAGTAAAAACAATAGATAATTTTTGTATGAAAATTGGTTTCATTTCTTTCTTCACTTATCAAAGAACACTTAAAATAGTGCTGATTTTCTTTGATCTGATTTTCTGATTGTCTGACTTTGAAATCTGACAATACGATCTGATTTTCGGTGACATCCTAAATTTTTGAAAAATGCAAAAATTACGAATAATGAGAGAAAGAATGTAATGTTATGGCAACACTTATTTTTGTCTAAGAGCTGCTCGTACGCTTAATGGTTCTCTTTTAATCAATGAAACTCCGCAGAAATAGATTAACACACATCACTTACTTTGCGCACTTTTGAAAATAAAGGTCTTTTTCCTAAAATTCTTGAATAAAATAAAATTCGTAGTACTTGGCCGAATAACGACCTTGGCTGCTGATCCTTACATCTAAATATCACACACTATTTGAATCTTCAAATATCTAATAATTGATAATAATACTAATCCTAATATCTAATGCTAATACTAATATCTAATACTAATACTAATATCTAATACTAACACTAATACTAATATATGCTAATATAATATAATAATACATGGTGATGACATGTGTCTAATGAGAGAACGTGTTGAGAGGTGTATGTGAGACTGGTGCTGCGTGTGTTGGCAGGACGGTGTCGACGGACGAGGCGATGGCGTACGTGGACTCTCAGGACGACGCGTGCGTGTTCGTGGAGACGTCGGCGAAGCGCAACCTGCGCATCGACGACCTCTTCTACGAGCTGTTTGTAGTAGCCGGGCTGCCCCTGGAGATGGCGCCCAACACACAAGCGCCTGCACCCAGCGTTCGGCAGCCCTGCACGCTGCCCACCGTCCACGCCGGCCACAAGTCCAAGAAGTGCACGCTGTCCATCAAGCGGCGGCTGAGCGACGCGTGCGGCGTCGTGGCACCACCGTGCGCCGCCCACGCATCCGCACCGACTCATGATCATGCGCACCAAGAGTGCTCGCTGGGCAGCAGCGGCGGAGGCGGCGTGGGAGGTGGCGCGGGCGCGCGGGCGCGCGGCCGTTCTGCGGCGTGCGTGCGCTGCTCCGCGGCTGCCGCCCAAGCCGTGCCCGCCCACGCGCCGCCCCCGCCACCTGCGCTCTGGGGGCGGCGGGGCCCTACGGCACCCAGCGACGAGGCCGGGCGCTGCGTGGTGCAGTGAAGCGGCCGCGCCCCGGCGCGCTCCCCGCCTCCTGCGCCCGCCCCTTCCCCGGCGCCACTCTTTCCAGTAGCCCTGCACAGGTACCCCGGGGCGGAACGATGGGGCGAAACCCCGTTCTCGCGTCGCACACACAGGCCACGGAGTCAACGACAGCTATGTGGCAATGGGAAACGGCGAGACTCTCCACAGACTCAAACCGTTTCTCCCTTGTGATTTCCACTCTTGATTGTCGTCTCTCTCCCACACCTCCAACTCATTAGACTGAGGCACGAGGCAGAAAGCCCGGATACTTTTCTTGTCGGCTCCGTTATAGTTGTCTTGCCATTCATTAATTCGAAATTTATTAATGCTATTCATTAATATTTTTCCATGAAACTGTCGTTTTCCAAAGCACGGAAAATAAGATCTCATTGCGCACCCCCATTTTACTTTATTTTTGGTCTAATGTGATATGTAGTGTATCAAATTCCTTTAGAGAATATAACACTAATGCGAGCCACACAGTACCTAAATTTAATTTAAGAGACCCTTATAATCTAAATATTTTTCCATTTATTTTTCTTTTTATTTAGCGGGAAAATATGAACAAAAATAATACTGACATATGAAGGATGTGAACTGTTAACATCACGAATCATTACTATTTTCATCGATATTTTCTTCAATCCCTCTTTTTGAAAATCTTGGAACTGCCTCCGATGAATGTCACAAGTCGGAACGATTTTTTATCTTCTTTATTAATAGTATAGTCCATTGAAATATTGCATTAATTTCATTCCTCTTTTTGCCATATCTTTACCGCGAGAATATTTTAAATATGGTTTTCACATTTAAGTATGAAGTGAATTCTCTCCAAAGTTTCTGACAGTTTCTCAAAGAGAGAAACCTTTGTGAATGTAACCTGTAAACTTTTACTGTCTGTAAATGTTAGGTGTAATTAGAAATCAAAAGGGTATTTAGAAAGCTTATTAGAAACCTTTGGAACTCAGAGCAAGTACACTGTTCTTGCGGATATTTATTATTTTTTGTAAGATAAATGAAAAATTATTTTAACAATTTATACGTGTTTAAGAAGTTTGCAGATGTGTTATATTTCATTCCTAATTCTTGAGAAAAAATCATATACATTATGTTAACAGTTCATTGCATTCGTATTTGGAGATATGTACTTGCTTGAAAACTATAGATAATGAAATAAAAAATAATTCATTTTGTTCGATGCATTAGTTACCTCAACCCTGAGTCGAACCAGGGTTTCATGTATATCCCACTAAACTTCCGAGGCGACAATTCTTCGCACTATTTCTTAGGAATGCACGTTAACTGATGCTTAATTGTCTCTAAAGGGAAGTAACAGGATGATAACAAATGAGAAATAAAAAATACTAATATTCTGACTAAAGTTCTGAAAATGTATTAAGTCTTGTGTGGATCGTGTTTTTGTTAACTTATTGTAATTAAAAATACTCCATTGTCAGAAATGTGGAGGTGAGGGAAATAAGTCGACATTTTAATTCAACCTCCCAATGTAAGAACCACCTTAATAGACCTTACTGGTTTTTTCTCTGGTTCCTTACTAAACTACATCTTGACAAATGTTTTCTTTTACAAATTATGACAGACGATTTACCATCTGAGCTCAGCGTAACAATACGACAGACGTAGGAGATGGCTAAAGAAAGAAAATATACGTGTGCATCAGCGGATTCTTCCATACCTGGTCAAACTGTACTAGGGAGATTTTATAATGCCTCCTCTTGTGATGCATTCTTCTTCCTACATTCCAGACTTCTTAGTACGTGGTGCCATTGGTTGTTCATTGGTTGGCATAAATATGTTCCTCCACGTTTTAGATCAAAGGGTTTGTTGATGACTGCACGTTATTTAAACACGCTATGCACTTGTGGACTGGTCTTTAAATACATTAGGCTATTGGCTCACAATAGTTCTTGCAGCTTATCTCTGAAATGATTGGTTGTTATGTGCTCACAAGAAGTGTTTTCCCTTACTTTCTCCGGGTATAATGTTTGAACACAACTCTTTATTAACATTAATATATATTTTTGGTAATTTCATGAATTCAATTATGTTAAATCTCTTGACTATTTTACCACTGCATTTCATCGCAACTCAAAAATACCTAAGAAATACTACCCTAATAACATATCTAAAGGATATTGGTTGTCCATATTAATTAAGAATTGAAAAAAATGTTTAATCATGCTCAGATTAATTCGTAAATAACAATTGAATGGTGGGCAGGATTCAATTTTTAAATAAGCGAAATTCAGGCATGCGAACTACAATTGATACTGTTGAAACTGAACATAAAATAACAGTCTACATATTGCTACTATATTGGTAGTTGGGGAATCGGAAAGAGGCGGGGTGTTGATACTAGTGAGAAATGAAAATAAAATAAAGAGAATATCAGACGATAGTTTCACAATTTTTTCTCCCAGGTATCTATCAACAAATATTTAATATAGCCACGTTCACTTCTTAATTTTACAGAATATTTTCTTGGTGCCAAAATGATTCATTATTGTTTTGTTTCTTATTCTTTCTCAACCTGAGGAAGACAATGGCGCAATAATGTTAAGAACGTTGATTCCTTTTTAATTATACCAACCTGCAGTTCAGAGTGAACAAATGTATTTCTGGAAAGTGTCAATTCCGTTGCCTTCAAAGAAAAGTCAGCGTTCTTAACCAAGACGACTTCCTCACCATTCTCACGAGTTCGCTGGTGTTCCCGTATGTCACATTTCTTTTCTGCTCTTCAAACCTGGTTTATATCAAACCTATTTTTCCGTTGAATTTTGATAATCCAAGTGAAGATAATGCTGAACTTTATTCGTTTGCGAGACAGCTAATATCTTTAATCACCCGGGGCCCTCGCTCCCGGGCTTTCCCCTCCCTCCTCCCTCTCCCCCTGTCCAAACTAAGCTTCTCCGGGTCCATGCCTGCTCTGAAGTAGGCAATGGTCCCCACTGCGCGGGTCACGTGCTCTGTGATGCGCCTCGTGTGTGTATCACTTGCAGTTCATAGTTTGAAGTGGCCTCTTTTCCTAGACCCCGTGTCACTAGGAAGTTTGGAAGGAGAAAGATTTTCAAAAGACAATAAATACTGCCTGCATTGTTTAATATTTTTAAAAATATTTCTGTGTTACAATAACACTAAGAACGTGGAGAGAATTGGAATATATTTTGTTTATTATTTTTACCTGAAATATTACTATTTCTCTTAAATCTTAATAGTTAAGCGATTTTCGCGGAAATTCATGGTTCCTTTTCGTAAGCATACACTAATATATCTCGTATGAACAATACATGTTAAAGGACCAAAATAATCGCCATACGCCTTGCCTTTTAATGAAACATATATGTTTCGAATAGTCGATATTTGGGCAGATAGTCAACGTTCCTTAATAAAACTAGTGATGTGTAAACCTACTAGCACATTCTTTCACGCATTATTACTAATTTTGCAATTTTCGAAAAATCAGAGAAATCAACGAAAATGAGACCAGCTAAAATGACCGGCATTTTTAAGTGTTCTTTGCACAATCCGTGGAAAAAATGTAATATAAAATTTTGGGCGGTTTTGAATAAAATGTTTTTATAAATTGCATTAACTTCAACCGAAAGTTACACCAAAAATATTTTTTTAAATATTGTACATGATTATTTTTAAGATCTGATTTTTAAATAGATATAATTAAACGAAAAACTCAATCCTCAATATTGTATTTTTACAATGTTAGTTTTGCGATTTTCTAAATTACAGAGAGTTTTCCAAAAATGGGACAAACCCCATTGTTTACAAACGAGAAAAATTTTAAAGAAAAATTCGGAACCGTTTTTTAGAAAATAATACTTTGAAAATGACCTAAATTTCACCCAAAATTTGTCGAAAATTACTCATATTTTCGAAAATTGTACTTGATATTCTTCTGAGATCTTCTTTGAAAAACAGATTTTATTAAGAAAAAATCTGTATCTGCAATATTATAGTTGTAGAAAGACACCGCAAAATTTTTAACTTTTGCAACTTTCAAAAAATCAGGGATATTAACGAAAAACAAGGACATTCTTTTCATATTGGAGGACGCACCACATTGCACTCGTATTTTGTCTTGTCAACCTGGTTGTATATGTTGTTGAATCACGAGAAAAAATAGCATCCATTCCATTTCCAGGGCAAATCACCAATCGAATTTCCTTCGTTTCGCAATCATTGAGGCCAAGCACCCACTTGCCTTCCATTACACGACCTCTAATTATATTTTCGCCGCCCTATTTAGGACTCATAAATTTCTACGACCTATTTAGATCCGCCAATTCTCGGTGCTTGCAAGTACCTTATTTCCATAGCACCCATGCAAACATTACGCAGAAATAATGGCCAACAGTCTTGTGAGACTATTTTTTGCCTCCGTCGGAACACTGAATCACAATATCTTCGTACGTATGCGAAGTAATACATCATTCGAAGAGCTTGCCCGATAATTAACAAACATTTTCAAAAATCGTACCTCTTGATGCAGAAAGCTTGGATGATTATTTTGGCACGAGAAGTCTCCAAATCCCTTTTCTCTGTTTCTAATTGCAGTTAATAATGCCCCTGAATCCGAACATTTGGCATTTGAGTGGGATCGAGTTCACAACACTGGTAGCATCAGTACACTGGCTGACTCATTTCCCACAGTATTTAAAAAAGTTATATAATTAATGTTCTGATCCATGTTGGAACGACAAACCACACTGAATACAACTATTCTTATTTATATTACAAAGGCTGGCAGAACGAACCGTGAACATTTGTTATGATGGCAAACCTATTCTGACTTATGAAGAAAGAAACCGCTCTCCTTTCAACATGTAAAGAGCAGCCAAAATTAGACCTGTGCCATTCTCTTAAATGCCCTTTACACTATTCGAGGGCAAAGTTTAATCAAAAAATATTGAGCAATTTTTGAGAAAATTTTGAAAATGTTATTG